CACACACAGGGACGCCCGGCTCCCCCATTGCCCACACACGGGGACGCCCGGCTCCCCCATTGCCCACACACACAGGGACGCCCGGCAGGAATTCCAGAAATATATTGTTTTGTAGATAGTTTTGTTCTCTTTGAGAATTGTGTATTTCGTATTATTGATAAATTAATAGATGAGTTGTCTACTTTTTTTTTACCGACTCAGTGTATGGTATGGGTGTACGGTAGGGGTGTACATGTTGTAAACATTGTGACATAGTAGGTGTGTGTGTGTGTGTGTTTGTGTGTGTGTGTGTGTGATGTAAACATTGTGACACAGTAGGTGTGTGTGTGTGTGTGTTGTAAACATAGTGGCACAGTAGGTGTGTGTGTGTGTTGAAAACATTGTGACACAGTAGGTGTGTGCGTCGCTGTACGACACACAATGACTGTCGCCGTAGGACACGTCGCCGTAGGACACACGATGACTCACCTCATGAGCGGCGATGTCCGCCTCCATCAGCGTGTGCTTCTTCAGCAGGTTCTGCACCGAGGCCAGGTCTTTGCCGTAGTCTTCAGAGGCCAGCATCTGCTCCACCTGGGGGAATGTGCACATCACACTGGTCACTACCCATTGGTCACTACAGACTGGTCACTGGTCACTACCCACTGGTCACTACAGACTGGTCACTGGTCACTACCCACTGGTCACAACAGACTGGTCACAGGTCACTATAGACTGGCCACTGGTCACTACAGACTGGTCACTACCCACTGGTCACTACCCACTGGTCACTACAGACTGGTCACTACAGACTGGTCACTGGTCACTACAGACTGGTCACCACCAACTGGTCACTACAGACTGGTCACTGGTCACTACCCACTGGTCACTACAGACTGGTCACTACCTACTGGTCACTACAGACTGGTCACTGGTCACTACAGACTGGTCACTGGTCACTACAGACTGGTCCCCTGCAGGGCTGCCCTCCCAACAGCATGTTTTCGTAAACAACAAATAGATCATTTGTAATCTGGCTTTAAAACTTGTGATCATATGGCCAGGGATAGTGTGGGGTGTCAAGGACTGGGTTGTTGTCAAATAGAAAGGATGTACACAAAGGTGTGATGAAACAAGACATCTTGCTGGGCTCCTCCTTGTTCACTTAGGAAAGGACAAAAAAAGAGTTAAAAAAAAGGTGGGGGGTGATGTTATTGCTTTTTAAAAAACCCAGAAGGAACTTTTAAAAGTACAAAATAGTCACCACTCCCCTGTAGCAAGTTGTTTCAAGTTTTAAACAATGACCCATTTTTGGCCTAGACTCACCCACAACACCAATAGGCAGGGATTTTGTAACAACTTGTCAACCTAATGTTGGCCTAAATCCCGACTTTGGCACTTTTAAAGTCTAAAGCTTTTTTCAGAACAAAGTAGCACTGAGCGACTGCACCGCACATGCCAAAGAGGATGTCAGAGGATGTAATAGGATGTTAGAGGCTGTTAGATGATGTTAGAGGATGTAATGGGATGTAATAGGATGTTAGAGGATGTTAGATGATGTAATGGGATGTAATAGGATGTCAGAGGATGTTAGAGGATGTTAGAGGATGTCAGAGGATGTTAGAGGATGTAATGGGATATTAGAGGATGTAATAGGATGTAATAGGATGTCAGAGGATGTTAGAGGATGTAATAGGATGTCAGAGGATGTAATAGGATGTTAGAGGATGTAATAGGATGTCAGAGGATATTAGAGGATGTATAGGATGTCAGAGGATGTAATAGGATGTCAGAGGATGTTAGAGGATGTAATAGGATGTTAGATGATGTTAGAGGATGTAATAGGATGTTAGATGATGTAATGGGATGTTAAAGGATGTTAGAGGATGTTAGAGGATGTTCGACAGCCGCATGTGGGGCAGTGACGTAGAATGTTCCAGTCGGAAAGGTTTTCTTCCTTTATACACCCGGAAGGTTGACAATGGGTTGAGCTCATGGTATTACGATCGTATTTCTGTAAAATTGAATAAAAATCGTAACGATTCCGCCAAATTCATAATGATAGGCAGCTCTGCCCCACACCCCGCCCTTTCCCCCTCCCCCCCTCCCAGCCAGAGGTCAATGTCCTTGACCCCTGCGTTATACGTCTGCTGTTTGCTGGCCTCCTTCAGTTTCTCGCTTTTCTCGGCAGACTTGGCCACCAAATCCTCCCATTGGCTGAGCAGACTCTCCAGTCGGTTCTGTACCGCGTCCTCCGAGCCCGCACACTGGCGCTGGTCAATCAGGTCTGGCCGAAGAAGGAAGGAGAGCAACGGTCAGTCTCACACCCACCTCCTCACATAATTCACACACCCACCTCCTCACACAATTCACACACCCACCTCCTCACACAATTCACACACCCACCTCCTCACACAATTCACACACCCAGCTCCTCACACCCACCTCCTCACACAATTTACACACCCACCTCCTCACACAATTCACACACCAAGAGAGTACCACAGCTCACCACCCAAACTCTATTTTTTTTTTTTTACGTCCTTCTTGATACAATTTAGATAACGAAAGTTGCAGTAAAACCTGGGTAAAGCGCATTCCCTTGGGACTCAGGATCTGAATGTCTTGGCTGAGCTATACAGTAGCCAGGAAAAGTCAACATATGAAATGGGATCTGGATCTGAGAAAGTGAACAATACAGCCGATAGTCGGATAGTTCGATAGTACGTTGTTATCCCTGTTGGTGATACCCAGGTTTAAATGTCCAATATTTCAAAGACTCAATCATTCCCTCAGATATTCTCCATCTACGACTCACTCTGCCCCATGCTCTATAAATGTCCTCTACTCTACGACTCACTCTGTCCCATGCTCTATAAATGTCCTCTACTCTACGACTCACTCTGTCCCATGCTCTATAAATGTCCTCTACTCTACGACTCACTCTGCCCCGTGGCTAGCAGGCCCTGCAGTCGGTCAGCGTTGGCGGCCAGCTCAGCCTCAAAGGCCTGGTGTTTCTGATGCTTGCTCTGGATGTTGGCGGGGTCCTTGTAGCTCTCGTCCAGCGCGATCTGCAGCTTCTCCTGTAGCCAGTTCTCCATCTCGTCAGCGTCGCGGGAAAACTGCTGCAGGGTCTGAGCCTCGCCCAGCTTGGAGCGGTTCTCGATCAGCGCGTCCTTCAGCTTGGACCATCTGGCGGGGGAAGAATACACATACAGCTAACCCTTTCTCTGGCACCTGTTACAAACTTTGGCTTTTAGTTTTTATTTTAAAAAGTTTTACAGCACTTACCACACAATTAGGTCATGCAAGTGCCAAAGATTAGACGTGTTACTAGAGAGCAACATACGAAAAGAAAAACAGGAAGGGAGATAAGAACAATTGTTGTTTAACATTAGCTGTTTGATAGGAAAGGAGGAGGGGAGAGAAGGAAGATAGATGTTTGATAGGAAGGAAGGAGGAGAGATAAGGATGATAGATGTTTGATAAGAAGGAAGGAGGAGAGATAAGGAAGATAGATGTTTGATAGGAAGGAAGGAGGAGAGATAAGGATGATAGATGTTTGATAGGAAGAAAGGAGGAGAGATAAGGACGATAGATGTTTGATAGGAAGGAAGGAAGGAGGAGAGATAAGGACGATGGATGTTTGATAGGAAGGAAGTAGGAGAGATAAGGATGACAGATGTTTGATAAGAAGGAAGGAGGAGAGATAAGAACATTACCTGTTTGACAGGAAAGGAGGAGGGGAGATAAAGACAATAGATGTTTGAGAAAAAAAGAGATAAGTATGACAGATATGTTTGATAGGGAGGGAAAAAGGGAGATAAGTATGACAGATATGTTTGATAGGGAGGGAAAAAAGGAGATAAGTATGACAGATATGTTTGAGGAAAGAAAGAGTAGATAGAAGGACGATAATTGTTGGACATGAAAGAAGGAGAAATAAGGACGATAGATGTTTGATAAGAAAGGAAGGGGGGAAAAAAAGGACGATAGATCTCTGTCTCCCCGCCCCCCCCTTCCC